AGCCCGAAGAGGATGCCCAGGTTCCGGAGGAGGCTGGCGAAGGGGGTGGTGTCGATGTGGACCCACTCAGGGTGGGCGCACCACTTCTGCGCCTTCTCCAGCGTCCAGAGCAGGTCCACGCCGAGCACCCGCCGCGCCCGGTGCCAGCGCCCGGGGACGCCTCCAGCCCGTCCCTCCGGCTGGGCCCCCCCGTGCCCGGACGGACACCCAGAGCCTCACAGGACACGTGGCAGAGACCCAGCGTCGTCCCCCCACCCAGCGGAGGCTGCTGTAAGTCACAGGAACGAGACACTGGAGAGCACGCAGACCAGAACCATTTTCATTTGTTTAACCTGAGAGGCACTACACAGCGCTTGCTTCTACAGCAGAGGAACAGGATTTTCTCCTCACTTTCCTCCTGCAGCAGACTCAAATTCAGCAATTAAGAGAGATAACGTAGACTCCCGTCTGGCATTGCGCCAGAAAGACTACACTTCCCTTTTGAAGAGCACTATTTTAAAAGCAGCGATAAAAAGTCATTGTACAACTGCAAACTGAGACAACTTCACTAAAAAACTGAAAATCTGAGACAGAACAGTCAACCTGGTGTCTCGGACGGTGTCTCCTAACACAGTCCTATAGCATTAAAGCCTGCTCATGTTTCGGAAACCATCAAAGGTGAACGGGGGGAAGTTTGGCAGGCAAGAGGCGGTTTTGGGCAGGCACGCGATCGGGTTGACCTCGCAGGCCGTGAAGTCCTGCTCGCTGGTGAAAAACACGCCGTCGTGTGAGTATATGGAGGGGTCGAGGTCATAGTAGTTGTAGGGTCTCAGGAGAAAGCCAACCGAGTTGCCCACTGTCACAGTGTTGGGAATATCCTCAGAGTGCGGGATGTGAAGGAAACCGGCGGTTATCCAGGCAACCAGGTCCTGGGCAGGGAAGAGCCACAAGACCACAGTTATTTCAGAAGCCTGAAGTGGCTGGAATCTGTGCAGGGCCCTTGGGAAGTTACAGGAGAGCAGGAGGGGAACCCCACAGGCTCCAGCCCGGCCGCGTTCCCACGTGCCGAGCTCCCCCTTCCTGGGAAAGGTCCCCTCCTGTCCCCAAAGACCTGCCCGCAGCCACGGCCACAGAGACCCGCCCGGAAGAAGGGCCCTTGCTCTGACCCCCGCGGCCAAGCTTTGGCCTCGCAGAGATTTTCCTGACCTGTTGCCAGCATTTCTCTGCAGGGAGAAACAAGCTCCCACTCTGTGCTCTGACCGAGGTGCCGAGCAGATACACGGAGAAGGGGATGCTCAAACCCTGGGGCTGCTGCTCCCCCCTGAGCCCACGGTCCTGCGGGAAACGCCAGGGTCGTCCAGCCCCTGGGCAGCGCTGGGGCTCCCACTCAGCCCGGGGGACCCCAGCTCACCTCGTTGGTGATGGTCTCGTTGTTGATGAAGTCGGCGAAGGCGACGGTGGGCGTCCAGGGGTCGTTCTGGTTGTAGATGCTGGTGCTGGTGGGCTCCTCCTCCTTCCGCCGGGTGACGGCCAGCTGGTACCTGAGGACAGGAAAAAATTCGGGAGCATCCCCCGGGGCAGGGCAGCGCTAAGGCCGGAGGCTGCGGAGCACATCCCGCTCCTGCGGCGCGACCCCGGCCCAGGCAAGCGTCCGCCCCGTGCCCCCCCACCAGGGACCGTCCGCGCGGTGCCTCCCCACCCTGTGGGGCTGGGGGCGTCCCAGAGCAGCCTGACCTTGCCCAGCTGATGGCTCTCTCCATGGAGCTGCCCTCGGGGACATGGTCCCCCGCAGAACTGGTGATCTGGATCCTGTAGCCGCGCTGGTGGCCCCACTTGTTTTTGCTGTTGGCTGCGAAGTAGATGTATCTGGGCATCTTCGCCTGGAGCCGGAAGGCAGCCTGGTCCTCCGTGTCCAGCACTTTCTTGGCAAGTCGCGGCCGCTCTATCTGCTGCTCTGGGCTCCAGGGAGCCCGCGCCATCTCAAACGCCATGTCATGGGCCACCAGGGAGTTTTTCACCCCTGAGGAGCAAAAGCAAAGTCACTGAGGAGCGTCACCTGTTCCCACGGACATCCCTGCAGCCGGAGCCCACTCTCCCCGTCCTCCCTTCCTGCACAGAGTTCTCCGAGCAGCGGGTACTGCCCGTGAGAGCCACCGCTGCGCCGTGACCGAATGCTGTGCACGTTTATCCCGGCAGCACGACTGTACGTGTCTGACCCGGGCGGCACCATGTTGTGGCTGACACCACCGCCACGGGGACTCTCGCCTGCTGCGAGGGAGAAGGGGGGAGCCTCGTCCCGGCACAGAGGAACAGGTTTGCTTCCTGGTGCAAGCACGGCCTAATTAACCCGAGCCTAATTAACCCGAGCGTCTGACGGCCCAGGCACTGTGTTTCTGCTCATCAGCACCATCCTGCGAGCTGGAAAGCACCACGGGGAAGGTCCCAGGCTCGGGGCACATTTGCACATCACAGAGCTGGAGGGAGCTGAGCAGTCAGGTCTTTCCGCAGAGAAGAGCCAGAGGCTCAGATCAACAGGAGGGGCACAAGAGCAAATAAACCTGGGGGCAAGATGGCAAAGAGCTGCAGGGAGCGCTCAGCACCAGCCAGCGCAGGGCTGGCAGAGGGGCCGGTGCCCAGCACCGTAACGCCCCCCCCGCACCCCGTCCCTCGGCCCCACGCGAGTTTCCAGCTCGTGCAAAGGCCCTTTCAGACGGAACCTCTGGCCGTCCCAGAAGGTTTGAGCACTGTCTCGCGCCTGAGCTCCAGGGCTGCCATCGAGGTCGGCACGAGGAGCCTGAGCCCCATGGAAGAGGATCCACACCCCACACCCACCCCTGCGCTCATTTTCTTCCCTTTTCTGATGTGAACAAAACCCCACACCTCCCCTTCCAGCGACAGCAGTGACAGTCTGATTTCATCTGCCTTTTCCCTGTGCTTGAGGTTTTGCAAGCCCCTGTTTTTAATTAAATACTCAAAACTCATCCTAAAACCACATGGAAGAGTTTTAACATTTGTGTTTCCCAATTAAAATGAAGTTGGGAATTTTTTAGCAGCTGGCAGGAGCACAGAGCAAATGCGTATTCAGCAGGAGGGCGAGGACAGGTGTGTGGCACGAACAGCACGGGAAGACCGAGAACCTTCAGCCGATGCTCCAGCTGCTGCCATGAGCAAAGGAGCCCCCGTGCCCGGCAAACGCAGCGCGGCCGAAAGCTCGGAGCTGCCTGCCCGGCACCGGCCTGCTCTGCCCGCAGCCCCGCGGAGCGGGCAGCTGCCCGTCCTCCTCGCACTGGGGCAGCGGGACGGCGCCACAACGCCGCAGGAAGCAGGAACGCGAGCAGGAAAGCGCAGCCCAACGCCCGGCTTCATCGACTCCGACGCCCACCTGGGGCTCGGCACAGGGGCAGAGGGAAGAATCCCAAGTCCCGCAGAGCCCCGAAGGCCACAGCGGGCAGACCCCTTCCCGTCAGGGCAGGGGAGGGCCCACGGCCGTGCTGGCGTGACCCACACTGGGAAGCCGCACACGGCACCCGCGGGCAACTCCCCGGGCCAGGGGAACCCACCCCTGTACTAGAGCAGCTCGTCACTGCCCTAACAACGGCAGCTCTGCGCCAGCACGCTGTGCCACCCCTGCGGGGAGAGAAAAATCTGTACAAGGACCAAAAATGCCAAGTTTTGGGAGTCTAAAAGTACTCAGGAAAGGCCCAAAGGAGAGACAAGGCCCAGACCTACCTCCCACGTCCAAGTCCACTTTATAGTTGACGGAATGGGTGTGTATGGTACCCAGCGTGTGCTCCCAGACCCTGCTGCCGTATCTCAGGCCATCCCCGTGGAGAAAGGACGAGGTCACGTACCCCGTGGCCTGGACCTTGCCCTCGATGGCCCCGTTCTGGTAGAAGATGAAGTCCCACACGTAGTCGTAGTTGCCCACGGTGGCGATGGAGCGAACCACCAGAGCGGAGTTCACCAGCCCCCCGTAGTAGAGCGACTGCAAGTTGGAGTAGTGGCGCCTCAGAGGGGAGCCCAGGTTCTGCTCAAAGATGCAGAGGGCACTTTTACTGACTTGGGAGACCTGGGAATGAGCCAGGTAGTGCACGTCCAGGTACGTTGCTAAGTAGGGGCAGTCGACCCCTCGCACCAGGGGGGAGGCGTAGCGCCCGATGCCAAAGCTCCCGTCCATGTACCGCGTCGACATCCCTCCGGGGCAGTTGGAGCCGTACACCGACAGCGCCTCTTGGACGCTGATTTCATAGGCCACCCTCTCCCCCTTGTGTCGGACGTCAAACAGGCGCAGGCCCCTGTGCACGCTCATCCCAAAGGCGAAGCTCCAGCCCTGGAAGAGGACGTGGTTGTTCCTGACGCTGTAGCGGGGGCCCTGCGGCTCGAACTGCAGCGGGAACAGCGCGGCCGCAGGCGCCCGGGGCTTCATGGACGAGAAGTCCCCGTCCCGCGGCGCCTTCCCCACCTTCTCCACGCTGATGCGACCCTGCACGTAGGCGCTCTCCAGCTGCTCCATGGCCCTGTAGTACCGGCCATTGTAGAAGACCCTGCTCACCGCCCACTGGGACGTGTCCAGGCTGCTGTGGTCCACCAGCACCTCCAGCCCCACCGGGTGCACAAAGAACCCGCTCACGTTCTGAAACAAAACGAACCAGGTGACCCGATCTCCAGACTGGAACCCACGGGGAGCGGCTGTCAGCGCTGCCAGACTGGCTCCATCGTAC